CATTGTTCTAGCCACTGGTAATCTAGCCCATTGAGAGTTTTCCTCCTTAGAAAAAAATTTTTTTTAATTTTATAAATCATTTTATTGGGGGCTCATACAACTCTTATCACAATTCATCCATCCACCCATTGTGTCAAGTACATTTTTGTACATATGTTGCCATCATCATTTTCAAAGCATTTTCTTTCTACTTAAGCCCTTGGTATCAGCTCCTCATTTGTTCTCTTCCCTCCCCCTCCTTCCCTCCCTCCCTCCCTCCCTCCTTCCCTCATGAACCCTTAATAATTTATAAATTATTACTCTTTTTTCATGTCTTGCACTGTCCAATGTCTCCCTTTACCCCTTTTTCTCTTGTCCATCCTCCTGGGAGGAGGTTATAGGTAGGTCATTGTAATTGGTTCTCCTTTTCTCCCCCCACCTTCTCCTTACCCTCCTGGTATGGCTACTCTCAATATTGGTCCCGAGGAGTTTAGCTGTCCTGTATTCCCTGTGTTTCTAGGTCTTATCTGTACCAATGTACATGCTCTGATCTAGCAAGATTTGTAAGGTAGAATTAGGGTCATGATGTGGGGGGGGGTGAGGAAGCATTAAAGAACTAGAGGAAAGCTGTATGTTTCATTGGTGCTACACTGCACTCTGACTGGTCCGTCTTCTCCTCATGACCCTTCTGTAAGGGGATGTGCAGTTGTCTACAGATTGGCTTTGGGCTTCCATTCTGCACTCCCTGCCCCTCTTATTCACATTATGATTTTTTGTTCTGGGTCTTTGATTCTTGATGCCTGATCCCATCAACTACTCATGATCACACAGGCTGGTGTGCTTCTTCCATGTGGGCTTTGTTGTTTCTCAGCTAGATGGCTGCTTGTTTATCTTCAAGTCTTTAAGACCCCAGACACTATATCTTTTGATAGCCGGGCACCATCAGCTTTCTTCACCACATTTGCTTATGCACCCATTTGTCTTCAGTGATTGTGTAGGGAAGGTGAGCATCTCAGAATGCCAGATTATTAGAACAAAGTGTTCCTGTGTTTAGGGAGTACTTGAGTAGAGTTCCAATGTCCCTCTGCTTCTTTAATACTAAACCTATAAATATATGTACATAGATCTATTTCCCCATCGTCACATATATTTACATATGTACATGCTTGTATTTAGATCTCTATAAATGCTCTTTGCCTCTGTTCCCTTCTGATAGCATGCCCGAAGTACAGGAAATTAAGTCTCTTCATCCTCACGTCTGAGAGCTTTCTGGCTATACCTCTTGCATAACAGATCTGTTCATTCTTCTGAAAGTCAATATATTCAATATATTTTGCCAGTACCATAATTCAATGCAAGGAAGACCAAAATGGTTACCACTGGACCAATCTGTAACACCATGTTAAAAGGAGGAAAGGTTGAAGTTGACAAGGATTTTTTCTCACTTGGATGCACAATTGATGTTCATGGAAGCAGCTGTCAAGAGATCAAAAGATATATTGCATTAGGTAAATCTGCTGGACAACACCTCTTTAGAGGATTTAAGAGCCAGTGTGTTACTTTGAGGACTAAGGTGAGCCTTCCCGAAGCGATGGTGTTCTCCATGGCACCCCATGCATGTGCAAGTTGAACATGGAGTGAAGAAGACTGTTGAAGAAGAGATGCACTTGAACTGTGGTGCTGGCAAGGAATACTGAAAGTACCACAGAGTGCAAAAAGGACAAACACATTTGATCGGAAGAAATAAGGCCAGAGGAAAGAATACAAGACTTTGTTGTACGTCTTTTGGACATATTGTCAAGAGAGATGAGTCCCTGAAGAAGGTCATCATGTTTGGTAGCATGGAAAGGCAGTGAAAGAGAGGAAGGCCATCGATGAGATGGACTGCCACAGTGGCTGCATCCATGGTCTCAGGGACAGGAGCACTTGTGAGGATGGCACAGGACCACAGGACCATGCAGTGTTTTGTTTTGCTTGCATAGAGTTGTTAGGGGTTGGAGCACCTAGCAACAGAAACATAACTCAAAAGCATCCATGCTTTGGTCTTCATTGTTCATGTGCACTAGACTGTCTAATGTTAGAAAGTGTACCACACTTAATGTTGGTGAGGATGTGGGACATTTGGAACTCTATCATTCTGCAGGTGGAATGATAACATAGTAGGGCACTTTGGGAAAGGATTTCTTATCGTTATTTAACTTTAATACGTATTTATGTACCTATCTATGATCTGATAATTCTACTCCCAGATTTTTATTTACCTCAGAGAAATCAACACATTTTCCCACAGATAAGTTTGTACATTAATGTTCATGGCAGCATTTTGCCTAATTGACTAAAACTGAAAACAACCCCAAATTTCAACAAATGAATGCATCAACAAATTGTGATCCATGCATTTAGAGAAGTACTGTCTTATTCATAGACATGAAAAACAAAAACTGATGATATCACAATAGGCATGGGTCTCAATAACATCATTTTGAGCAAAATTAGCCAGGCACAAGCGAGAACACATTTTATCATTTCATTTTATGAAAGGTGAAAAAGGGCACAACGAATCTGTGCTGATAGAATCTAGAATGGTGTTTGTTTGTGAGTTTGGAGGCGTGGTCTAGAGGGATCCTGAAGTTTCTAGAGGGGAGCATTCTAGAGTGATAGTCATATTCTATGTCTCTTTGGGGATGGTAATTACAGAGTATGTATATATTTTCAAAAATCATTAAACTGTGTCCGTAAAACCTGTGCTTTCCACTATCTGCCAATCTACCTTCAGTTAAGATTATTGCGTATCAATTATGAATATTTGTTGTTGGGATTTGATGTCCTTACAAAAAGGAATAAAATGCTGCCTGGTCCTGTGCCATTTCTATGATCAGTTATGAACCACACTTTGTGATTCATAAGGCTTTTAGTGGCTGGTGTTTGGAAGTCCCCCTCCAGAGTTTTCTTCCTCCCGACCATACACCCTGCCATCAAGTTGATAGCGGACCTGTAGGACAGGGTACTGACCCTGTGGGTCTCCAAGACTAACTCTTTGTGGAAGTAGAAAGCCTCATCACCTTTCTCCCAGAGAATGGCTGGTGTTTTCACACTGCTGACTTTTCAGTTAGCAACCCACCACGAGGCCTGCCGCTCAGCATCCCAGCATCATGCAAGGCTCCACTGGCAGATGGGGGGTGGCTCCACTGGCAGATGGGGATGGCTCCACTGGCAGCTGGGGAGTGGCAGTACATGAGGTTCATTAGTTGGGAATCAACCTTGGGTCTTCTGCAGACAAAACCAAAACCAAATTCAACTGCCATCAAGTCAAAGCCACCACATAGCAACCCTATAGGATAGTGTAGAACACCCTCTGTGTGTTTCTGAGACTGGAACTTACTGCAAGAGTAGAAAGCTCATCTTTCTTCAGAGGAATGGATGGTGGATTTGAACTGCTGACCTTGCAGATCACAACACCTAACCACTACTCTTCTTCATGGGAAGTGAGAATTATACATCTGAGTCACCATTCCCCGCTAATTTTTTATAACCAAAACATCCATTTCTATCAAACCATTTTCTACTCATAGTGACCGTATATAGGGTTTCTGAAGCTGTAAATCTTTATGGGAGCAGATAGTGGCGGGTGGCTTTGAACCACCCACCTTTTGGTTATGAAGACACCCAATGGTGCCACCTGGACTTCTTATTATAGAGCATTCTGAATGCTACAGAAAAATGGATTGAAGGATTAAGTTTGAATAGCACTTCCATCTAAAAGATAATGGTGTGCAAAACACTTGGTTTTTCTCTCTGGCTTTATTAGATTGATTCAAATATATAAATCTTTGAAACTATTTAGGTAACAGCTATTCAATTAACTTTTTGTGTTTTACAACTATAGAATTTTGGTCAGTATTTCCTTATTTTCTTGCACAGTTATGCTACAGTGAAAGAACATATCACCTTTCTAGAAGTTGGTTGAGATTATAAAACTTTACAATAGCAGACTGCATTTATTACTTTTGTTAATCTCCTACTTTCCTTTACTATTTCCTGTTTTAGGTAAAGAATAAATATCCCCCCCCCAAATATTAGGTGTCCTAAGTCGTATTAATCTCTTCATGTGTTAGAATGTTAAGCAATTTTGAACAGTTCGAACCCAATTTTCTAGCTTGAATTAGAAATTTAAGTTTGATTTCTGTGCCCAAATGAAAACTCTAATAAATCAGTTTACTTAATACTTTTAATGTACTTAAAAACATATTTTACAATGCTTTGTATTTATTAGAAAACATTTAAATAGCACTTTATAATGGTGTCTGCATTTTCTTACTTAATTTTCTAAAGCTTCTATTATAGATATGATGCCTTAAAAACTTATATAACCTTTATAATGTATTAGGCAAATATTGGGAAAACAGCCTTAGGGATAAGATACCTTATTTAACAATATAGATGACTGCTTTAAATTGTTAACATTTAGACCAGTTCACTGTAAAACTAACATTTAATCAGAATGTTGGTGTTAGATAATCTTGAGTCAGTTATGATGCGTAGTGACCCATGTTCAAGAAAACAGAACACTAAGACTATCCTTACAATCATTTTTATGTTTGAGCCCATGTGGTAGCCACTGCCACTTCAGGTCACTCAGGGTCTTCTTTTTGTTGCTTTCTACTTACCAAACACGATGTCCTTCTCCAGGGACTGGTCCCTCCGGTTAAGACGTGCCCAGTACATGAAGGGAAGTCTTGCCGTTTTGCTTCTAAGGAGCATTCTTACCACACGTCTTCCAACACAGGCTTGTTCTTTCTTCTTTGCTAGCACCATCGGTCAAAGGCTCTGATTTTTCCACCTTCTTTGGTTTTTTTTGTCCATGCATGTGAAGTGAATGGAATGTGTTTACTGCTCTTGTACAGGAAATGTGCTCTTACATTACCTAAAGAGCTGATGTCAAACATTGAATACCCTGCCATCATGGCTTGTCTTAAGATGAAGTTTAATTCCTTTTCCACAATCTCTAATTTGTTACTTAGAAATTGTTTTACAATGGACTCAGGCTGGACTGGGCGGAGCAACTGGAGCAAAGGAAGCCCTGTTTAGATGAGCAGTCCTCTTGACCGGGGAGCGGACAACGCAAAGAAGACACTGGCCTAGTACGTGAGGGGCTGGGACGAATGGAAAGAGGCGGGATAGGGAGGTGGAGCGTGTGCTGAGACAAGATGGGCAGGTCTGATGCTTTTGCAGGCGCTCAAGCACTTTCAAAACTGAGTGATTAAGACCTAGGAGGTCAGAAGAGGAACTTAAGGAGTGTGGGAAAGTAGTCATGATGATTAAAAAAAGAGAAGATATTAGAAGATGCTATTTGAATGAACTGGAAGGACTTCGAAGTAGCGAGGCCAGTGAAGAGAAGTCTGAATTTGTCAAAATGACAGGAACCAAGACCATTACGGAGTTGGAGCATATGTCATAATGACAGGGCAATGTGCTCACCATGCGACCTAATAGCTCACTCTACTAGACTCGTGGGCTGTAATAATTTATGAAGTTCATGATTAGGAAGTGCAGAGAGATACACTGAGAATATCGTACTGCGTCATCATAATTTGCTTATTTATCATTTTATCTCATAGTAAGCCCTATTCATTTCCGTTAGACTCTGACTTAAGTCAGTTCAGTATGTGCAGTTTCTATAAGGGTTCTAAAGGCTGATTTTTTTTCAGAAATAAGTGACCAGGTCTGGCCAGAGTGCTCCTGAGAGGCAAGATTGGTGAGATTTCATCTTATACACTTTGAACATGCTGTCAGGGGAGGCCAGTCCCTGGAGAAGGACATCATTCTTGGTAAAACAGTGGGACAGTGAAAGAGTGGAAGGCCCTGGATGAGATGGATTGACATGGTGGCTGCAACTATGGGTTTACACAAAGAAGCCATTGTGAGGATGCTACGGGGCTGGGCAGTGTTTTTGTTCTGTTGCTCATAGGGTGGCTATGGATCGGCACCTACTTAACAGCATCTAAAACAGCACCTCTGGCTGGATCTGAGCATCCAACCTGGTTGTTAGTACTACGCAGAGATTCCTTATTTCATAGCGTAACTGTCTTATTATGTTCACCATATGCGGTTATTGTTAGTTGCTATTGAGTCAGTTGCGACTCATAGTGACCGTGTGCACAACAGAACAAAACACTCCCCAGTCCTGCAACATTCTCCGAATTGTTTCTATGCTGAGGCCATTGTTGCAGCCACTGTGTTAATCTGTCTCATTTAGGGCCTTCCTCGCTCTTGCTGCCCCCTTACTTTACCAAGCACCTTATACAGCCACAATATTTTGGGCACAGAAGCGTGTATTTTAGTGTGTCAATAAATATTGGTAGATACCATGAAGTCAGTCATTTAATAACTCATCGCGGTATATGTACAATACCACATAATAGACACTGTTCTAGACACTGGAGATAAAAAAGAAGCAAGCAAACAACAACCTCCTCCCCCACAAATGACCAGACAAAATACACAAAAAAGTCAGTAAAAAAGAAAGCATAAAATACTAAAAAATGAAACAATTTTAAAATGAGTCAAAAGGGTGATCAAATAATGTATTACATTTTATTCTAACTACATCTGCCAAAATCAACTTTACAGTGCTCTCTGTCTGATAGCAAGGCTAATCACATCCCTCTACCAAGGTCACAGGGACTCACTGGAGGTTAATTCTATGTAGGGAACTTGCAAGTGGATTCTGGGCTTCCACTGTCATCTATAGCCTTGTACAAACTAGGTTTTCCTAATTAAGCTCTGATACCATTCCCTCTTTTGGATTTGGGTTTTATTATTTAAAATCCTAGGATCACAAAGGCTATTGTGGTTCTTGTAGAATGGCTTTGAATCCTGATGAATATTTATGTGGTATGTGAGAATAAGACAGGGGCCAATTATATATACACGAGTATGTATATATATATGCATATATACTTATGTGTATGTTTATTGCTTGAACAACTGAGTGGAGAGTGGAGTAGTGTAACTATTAAGAGATCTTGCAGATATATAGGGAAGGAGTGCAATGTGTGTGTGTACATAGTAACAATTCCATTTTATCCATAATTTTATTTCAATGAATAGATTTCAATAAGTATTTATTAAACATACACTATGTTCTAGCCACTGTTCTAGATATATCATAAAAATACACAATACTCTGTTTTGTAGGTTTTACTTTGTAACTGGGGGCCACCATGAATAAATAAATATAATCTAGTTTTTTTAGATGTTGACAGCGTCTATGAATAAATATTAAAAATCTGAAAGGGAGTGGGGTGTGCTCCTAGTAGAGGTGGTTTTGCTATACTTTCAATGTGGCCACATGATCATTCTAATAAGGGGATATTGAACAGAGATTCAGAAAGTGGGTACAGCTAAGATAAACAGTTCCAGATAGAAGAAACCGGGTGTGCCAAGGCCATGGAGTAGGTATGTGCTTCACATGTCATAAGAATATTAAGAAGCTCAGTGAGGAATATGGTAGCAGATGAGGCTGGAAGAGGCAGGAAACGAGATGATTTAGAACACTATGGGGATTTGTAAGGAGTTTGTCTTTTGCAATGAGTAAGATGGGAAGTCAGTGAAAGATTTGAGCAAAGGAATGCTTTATTTCATTTATTTTGTACAAAACTCCTTAAATTGTTGTGTTGTTTATGAGCTCCATGGAGACAAGAGCAGAAGCATAGAGACCAGCTAGGAGGCTATTTTGATAATTTTATCCCAGAATATTGATCTGGATCAAAACGGTATGAGTGAGGATGATGACAGATGAGTGGATTCAGTTTCTGTAAGTATAATAAAGTAGAGGTAATAACATTTGTTGACTGTTTGGATATGGGCTGTGAAATACAGAGTAGATTCAAGTGACTCCAACGTTTTGGGAAGATGGGGTTGTTATTTCCTGGAACAGAGAGAGACCTCCAGAGGTATCGTCTTGCGAGAGAAAAGCAAGCATTCAGTTTTGGGTATTGTATTCTGGGGTTCAGTGGAAAAATCCTGGCTGTAGACACTGATTTGGGAGTGCTCGTCCTTAACCGTCATGTAAAGATCAGAGGCTACACGAGCAAGCAGGGAGGAAGAGCACTGCAGCCTGGGTGCCTGCACATTTGGAGGTCTGGCGCATGAGAGAGCAAGGAGGAATGACCGGTCGGCAGAAAATGAGCAAACCCTAATGAACAAGTCATTTCAAGGAAGAAATGGTCAATGGTGTCAGATGTTAGACTTGGAGACTGAATATTTACCATTAGATTTAGCAAAAAGGAAGCTATTCATGGGAGCCATTTCAATGGTGAGATAAAGGTGGTAAGCCTAATGGGGTCAAGTTCAATAGAGAAAAGGAAAAAGAACTTTGAAAATAATGAATGCAGATTTTTAAAGATTTTGTTTTGTTTTCTAAATGAGTAGAATGAAGTAGATTTAGCTTGAAGAAGACACACTTGCCATATTTTTAGGTACAAACCAATAATTTTACTAACATTTATTGACTGGGGCAAAATTTTCAACATATATCAATAAGCTATGTCAAATATTTGTTTATCCATGGGTATGGAATCCTGGTGGACTAGGCACTGAGCTGCTAACCACAAAGTCCAAGGTTCGAATCCATCAGCTGCTCTGCTGGAGAAAGATGAGCCTATCTCCTCCTGTAAATATTTAGTCTCCGAACCCACAGGGATCATGCTACTCTGTCTAATACAGTCTCTGTGAGTCAGAACCAACCAGCTGGCAGTGGAGAGTGAGTATGGGTATACTCGCCCTCTGGGAGTCTATCCAAACATCTAATGATAGAACACAGTATGGTAGGATTGTGTATATAATAGTCGTTGCCTCTTTTGCCCTTAGCTCATGTCAACCTACAGGTGTCTTGCTGGTATCAATTTCCCTCAACTTCTTATTTGTTGTGTACTGCGTTCCCTTTCACCAGAACCAGCACTTGTCTCCTTCCAGACTCACGACTTCTCCCTGCCTCCCTCTCCCGCCTCTAGGAGCCATCAAGGAATGTTTGTCTGTTTGTTTTTCAGTGTGAAAAACTTTTCTTTAGATTTTCTAATAGTGATCTCATAACATATTTGTACTTTTGTGATTGACTCATTTTTCCCAGAATAGTCCTCCAGGTTCATCCAAGTTATTTCACAGGTTCGTCATTATTCCTTTACATATTCCATTGTTTGTATGTGCCAGTGTTGATTTCCCCATTCTTCCGCTGAGGGGTGTTTACATTCTTTTGCTATTGTGAACAGTGCTGTGATGGACATGGGTGGGTTGCAGCTCTTATTTCTCCAATACCAAGTAGAAAGGCAGCTGAGTCTCATGGTATTTCTCCTTCCAACGTTTTGAAGAAGTTCCATACCAGTTTTCTGCAGTGGTTGCACCATTTTACAGCCTCACCAGCCATATATGAGGGCTCCAGTCTGTCTGCATGCTCACCAGCATTTGCTGTTTGCTGTGTTGTTTAACTTTGCTATTAATGCTGGGTAGGAGCCCGCATGGTGCTGTCAGGTAAGCATGGATCTGGTAATACAAGGTCAGCAGTTCAAACCTACCAGCCCATTCTACAGGTGAACGATGAAGCTGTCTCATTCCATGAAAGTTTACAAAGCCCCAGAAACACTCTTTTGGGGAGCTATGAGTGAGTCTCAACTTGAATGGGGGTGATTTTTGTTTTCAATTCTGTGATTAGGTGTCATTTACTTGTTTTGATTTGAATATCTCAAATGGTTAATGATGGAAAACATTTCTTTACATATATATTGCTTACCTGAGTGTCTTCTTTGGTACAATGTATGTTCATGCCCTCAGCTCAATTTTTAATTGGGTGGTTTGTCTTTTTCTTTTGAGTTGTTGACATTTTTTACAAATTTCATGTTAGCCCTTTTTCTAATATGTTATTGCCAAATAATCTTCCTAGTCTGTGGGCTCAGATTTTTACTCTTTTGGTAAAATCTCTTGATGTACATAAATGTCCAATATTTATGAGGTCCCAATCAGCTATTTTGTCTTTTGCTGTTTGTGTATTTTTCATTACATTTGATAGCATATTTATGCCATGTATTATAGTCTTATTTTATTGATGATGTTTATATTTAAAATTTTTACACTTAAGTCTCAGATC